GTACCTTGAATGCAAATAATTGGCAATGGGAAAGCTTGGGCTACAATATCAAGACTTTTTGGGCATATTCTTCTGTTTTCAATGAATTTTACTTTATTTGGCTCCCCTGAACAATTTAAAAATCCAAAAAACGCCATCTTAAAAAAATTATAACTCCAATAGTTTTTAAGCTACGGCAATGAGAGACATACCATTCGGTTTGTAAAAATAATACCTAGCGACTCTGGAAGCCTTTTCTTTAATATGTGCATGGTTTGACTTATATATGGGAGGGGAAGGGAGGTGGGGGGGGTAAAAATGTGAAAAAATGGGAAGAACGCAAAAAAAACTATGAAGAAAATAAAAAATCGGGGCTCTACAGTCGCTAGATATTGTTGTTACAAATTGAATGATATGTGTCTCGACATTGTAGCATAAGATTTGCAAAAGTTATAAACTTTTTTAGAGTACCACTTATTTGCCGTTTTCTATTAATTCCATGTTTTCTTTCATTTTTTTTTAATTTACATGAACAAAAAGGTCTTAGATTTCTGTTTAAATATGTGTACCAAGTTTCAAAACGATCCGTCTGTACACAAAAAAGTTTTGTTGGAGGGTAGCCGGTCCCCAAGTAAAATCTAAAGGCTTTATCTATAAATGTAGTGGTAGCGGCAAAACCTCGTATCGCTACTTAAATATGTAGCGGGCGCTACCACTACCGCTACTGAAAATGTAGCGGCCACTAGTAGCGGCCGCTACATGTAGCGCGCTACTGCCCACCTCTGCAAATATATCCTTATCAATGAAATAATATAAAAACAGCAAAAATATTTTGAAACTGCTGGTACATCCTATCCAGGTTTCATCAACATGCAAGAATATGCATCATTCAACACACTCAGCAGGAACACACAATACCATGAAGCAGGGCTGAACAAATAGACGGAGTAAACTTTCAGCAAAACAAAATGGCATGGGTATAATTGGGGAGTCATTTGTTTAGAAATAAGAGTGGCTCAGATGTAATATTTTAGCTTAGGAACAAAAAATAAAGTCAACAGGTCTGTTACTTAAATTGATCCATGCAGTTCTGGCATGGACCAGACACATTTGGCAGGTGTTTTGCACTGGACAAACACAAACTCTATATGCTGTGACTGTAGTGTGACATGCTGACATCAGAGTACCTATGTATATGAATATTTTGGCAAGTGATTATCATGGTGTGTAATCATTGCATGCAAATATAGTTAGTATACTAGTCTTTCTCATCTTTATATATTGCATCTTTTCAAGTTTCCCATTATATAAGCCTTGAGCATTTTCACCTTTTAACAAATTTTGACCTTAAATTCAAGTACATGTCTCATTACAAGTTCAATCACAAATAATTGATTGCTCAACATTGCAAGGATTGGTATCAGCCTTCCATTTCATCAGTATCTATCACTAGCTCTAATTACACTGCTTACTAAGTTTGTACCAATCATTTGTTATCAGCCAAATTGATTAATTGTGATCTATGGAGAAGCAGGGCTGGAAAAGTCCTATTTTTGTCTGAAATATCACGGCTCTAATATCATATTATTTCATTAGGTATGAAATCTCGCGGCTCGAATGTCATAAATTTTTGTTTAATTGAAAAATTGCGGTTTGCACTTCACAAACATGTCACTTCATAAAATTTTCAACTTCCGCAATCCACTCGAAGAAATGGAATCACGGCTGGCAAATCCATAAAACCACGGCTCAAAAAATTCAGTCGCGGCTCGCCAAGTAGATATATTCCATGCCTGTGGAGAAGCATATACAATGACACTTGTCATCTTCCACAATTGTCTCTCTGCATCTATGGGAAAATGAATATCGTATTTATGGCAATGAATTACTATTGAACCTATGTTGTGACTTACTTTACTGTCTTGGTGTGAACACTGAGGCCTGTGAAGTGCTAACATAGCATTTTGTAATGATTGTGCCACAAAAAAAAAAAAAATTGCCACAGGTGAAGATGTTGGCACTTGTAATGAACAAATTGCAGCATATTCAAGTCTTCTGTGGTCAGATGCCTTGATCACAAAAAAAGTATGATTGAGGTGGATGGCATTTGCCATTAATGCCTTCCAACAGATCCCAATTTACAATCAATATTGCCAGTGCGTGATGATGAGCACTGGCTCCATGCACCACCATGGAGGCCATAGCAATCTCACTCCTCTTAATGGCTCTCCTCTTTGCATCATCAATGTATACATCCCACCAGCCTCCTCCTGCCCCCAGGATATTCCCTGTAGCTCTCAGACATTGTCTCCATCCCAGGTGGCTGTCTGATAATGGGCAACTTTAATGCCCATCATCCCTCCTGTTTCTCCACATGGAAGACCAGAGAGCCAAAGTGCAAGGAACTGCAGTGGACAACCTCATCGTGGACAACCACTTGCAGTGGACAACCACTCAAGTCAAATTCCTATTACCTAATTAACAGGGTAGCTTTTTTAAGAGCGTGAGTAAATAAATAAACAAACAATACACTTATACCTATTATTGAATCAAAATAGCAGGAACTAGACATTCTATCTGTAGCTCAGATATTTTTGGATTGAGCAATGAACAAAGATAGACTGATTTTGAATACAGAAAGATGTAGGTAGCCTACTTGAAGCATCGTGGACGTCTTGACGAATAATTTATGGACAGGTTCACTAATCATAAATAGAAAGATCTACATAAATTACATCAAATTTTCATTCATCAATACCTCTTGGACCTTAAATTTTATTAAATAATATCACTCCAAACTCCAAAGTGAATAAAAATAAGTTTACTACTGACTAATTCTCCAGACAGCAATATGTCAACGACTCAACGTTCTTGTAACTGTTTTTGTTAGGAGGTTTATTTTTTTTTATAGTTGGGGTTAAGACTTGTGGCGACAAATGCGCCCACCAGCCTGTTCTCTGTCAGAAAGAGAAAGCAAAGCAGCAGACTTGAAGCTCTGCTAGACTAGGATGCTGCCTCCTACCCACTATGGACCAATGCAGTCCACACTTGCTGAGCCTCACAGCCAAAAGCTGCTTGTGCCCGGAGATGATCCTGTTGCAAGGTAGATATTCTGGCAAGTTACAAGTTTTTTATATATTTACATGCATAAATCACTCTCCGTCATAGTAGATTCACCATGCCAGTCTGCAATAAAAATTGTGATAGATAAGAAAATACTAAATGGCAGACAAAGCGGGGTGACTATATTAGCAAGGCTTTAGCTTCAGCCAGCAAACGTGTTGCTAGAGTGGCTGGCGAGTGACTGACTATCGGTGCTGAAGACACAGTAGAGAACCGCAAGTGTGATGTCACTGAAGGTGGCACACACAATCAATGAACAGCTGAGGATGTCGGTCAATACCGGACAATATGTTACTAAACTCTTATATGGGAAGGGAAGAAAAATGATTTGTAATAGGTAAAGTTTATAATCCATACAGATCAGTTGACTGCAGGGAGTAAGAAACGTTAAAGCTCTTGCAGTTATATGCCTTTGTTAGGGGAGGCAAGTAAATCCTTTCATATATAACGGGGCTAAGCGAGCGCCAGTTCATACCGGACGCCTTCTAAAAGGAACTGCTGCGCCACCATTGTATTCACCATGCTGCGCCACTGCAATACAATATTTTCTGGCATATACATATCTATAAACTACAGCTACTCCGCGCTATTACGTAATGAGGTTTATAGATATATGCCAGAAAATATTGTATTGCAGTGGCGCAGCATGGTGAATACAATGGTGGCGCAGCAGTTGCTTTTAGAAGGCGTCCGGTATGAAGTGGCGCTCGCTTAGCCCCGTTATATATGAAA